CGGAATCCTCCTCTGTTTCCTCTACTTCCCCCTCTGCTGGTTCCACCTCTATGCCAGTCTCTACTCTGTCTCTCCCTGCCAATCTTCAATTGACGGTCAAACTCACGCCAACCAACTATCTACTGTGGCACGCTCAAATCACCCCTCTTCTTCGCTGTTATCGAATCATGGGTCACGTTGATGGCTCCCTCTCTTCTCCACCGCAACTTGTCGACGGTCAACCCAATCCAGCCTACTAGACGTGGTACGATCGAGATCAATATGTGCTCACCTGGATAAATCTCTCCCTCTCCGAAGCTGTGCTGCCGAATGTTATCAACAAGGTCACTGCGTTTGACGCGTGGACTGCTCTGCCCACCATCTATGCCTCTAGTTCCCACATTCAGATTCAGCAGCTCACCAAAACTCTCCAGCACATCCGCCACGGTGATGCTACTATCCACGACTACCTCCAAAACGCCAAGGCTAAAGCCGATCAACTCGCCTCCCTTGGCTCTCCTGTTCCAAACGATGATCTGACGGGATGGATCCTCGACGGATTGGGTAAGGATTACTGCCCGTTTGTGTGGCACATAGAAGCACGCATGACCCCCATCAGCTTCGAAGACCTCCACTCGCTTCTCCTCCGAGAAGAACTGCAAATTCAGCGCTATTCGTCTCGGTCGGATTCACCTTCTCCAACCGCTTTCTTTTCCAACGCCGGTGGTTATCGTGGCAGAGGGCGAGGGCATGGCAGAGGCTTGTCCCGTGGCGGCCACCGCTCTTATTACTCTAACCCTCCTGTTTTTCCTCCTTCTATTGGCAGGTTGGACTCAACTGGTGTAGTCCTTGGGCCAAGCCCACTAATCCAGTAGTGGTTTGTCACAATTGTGGTGGACGAGGCCACATTAAAACACACTATCCCAGCACAGTTCTGCATCAGCCCAATCACTCGGCCCAACCCGCCCCACTCCTTGGTTTTGTTTCCTCCTACAGCCCACACGCCCTGTACACCTCCTCCCCCGCCCCATCCTTTAATCCGCAGCAGTGGCTTCTCGATTCCAGCACCAATCATCACCTTACCTCCGATTTAGACAACCTCGCTCATCATTCAGAATATAATGGAAATGATCAGGTCACCTTTGGCAATGGTAACTCTCTTCCCATCTCTCGTGTTGGATCTTCTTCCTCTTCTTTGTCCAACACTCCAATTTCTTTTGATAATATTATTCATGTTCATCGTGCTCCATATAATTTACACTCCATAAGTTCTCTCACTCGATCTAATCCTATTTCCATCGAATTTTTTGATTTCTCTTTTTCTTATAAAGGATCATCGTACGGGCCATGAACTTCATCGGGGATATGCGGTGGATGGTCTCTAATCCCTTCCACTCCATATTTCTCGCCAACTCTTTCCCATTGCTTGTGAGGCTTCTTTCGACATTTGGCATTGTCGTCTTGGTCATGCTCATGAACGGACAGTTACACGCTCTTCATCAGCATCAAATAAAATTTGTTCCCTCTCCTCCATCTTTGTGTCACAGTTGTGCAGTTAGTGAGATTCATAAGCTTCCTTTTACTTCCTCTACATTTTGCGCTACTGCTCCACTTGAACTCATCAGTAGTGATGTATGGGGCCTAGCACCGCTTTTGTCTTATGATGAGCAATCCTATTACATTTTTTTATGATCATTATAGCAAATTCTCTTGGATTTATTTCGTTCGTTATAAATCTCAATTGCTTAATGTCTTCATCCAGTTTCGTCAGTTGGTCGGAAAAAAATTTGGCCTTCCCATCAACACCTTCCAATCTGATTGGGGAGGCGAATAATAGGCTTTGTCCACCTATCTCTCTCAAAATGGCATTGCTCATCGCCCTCCTGCCCATACACCCCTGAACAAAACGGGTGTGCGGAGCGTAAACATCGGCACAACGTCAATAATGGCCTTGCTCTTCTACATCATTCGCACGTTCCAAAAAAATATTGGTCTCTTGCCTTTGACACTGCCTGCTATCTCATTAATCGCACTCCTAAGCCACTTCTCCACAATGATTCTCCCTTTCATTTTCTCTTCCAACACTCCCCTGATATCACTAATCTTCGAGTCTTTGGTTGTCTCTGTTACCCATGGCTTCACCCTATCGCACCCAACAAACTTGTTCCCCATTTTGTTCCTTGTGTCTTTCTTGGCTACAGCAAGCTTCACAAGGGTTACCGTTGCCTTCATATTCCCACTGGTCATCTCTACGTTAGTCGACACGTTCTATTTGATGAGACCCGTTTTCCCTTTGCCGAATTATCCCCCTCCACTTCATCATCACCTTCATCCCCTAAACATCTCGTTGCTCGCGGATTTGAACAAGTTCCTGGTCTGGATTTTCAGCAGACTTATAGTCCAGTCCTCAAGCCAGCTACCCTTCGCCTCATTCTCGGTCTGGCGGTTACCCAGGTTTGGCCGCTTCACCAAATCGATATTGCTAATGTCTTCTTACATGGTGAGTTGCAGGAAACAGTATATATGCAGCAGCCTCCTGATTTTGTTGATCCGGACAAACCTGATCATGTTTGCCGCCTTCGAAAGTCTATATATGGCCTTCGACAAGCGCCCCGCACCTGGTTCCATTTTCTTGCTACCGCCCTCACTCGATTCGGGTTCTCTGTTTCTCGCACTGATCCATCTCTGTTTATCTTCAAGACTGGTGCTACCCGCCTATATTTGTTGGTATATGTTGATGACATAGTCATCACGGGTAATGATGCTCCTCTAATTCGGCGGCTCTTCAACTTTCTTCATGATAATTTCGCTTTGCGAGAATTAGGACCTCTCTCATATTTCCTCGGCATTGAGGTACATCGCACGTCCACCGGTATCATCCTCAGCCAGCGGAAGTTTGTTTTGGATCTTCTCGAGCGAGCTCATATGTCAAATGCCAAAGCCATATCTACTCCCTCAACGACCGACATTGTCCAACAATCTGCCATGGATTCCTCTCCTATGTTCTCCGACCCAGCTTTGTACCGTAGTATCGTTGGCGGCTTGCAATATTTAAGCTTCACCCCGTCCGATCTTTCCTTTGCCGTTAACCATGTTTCTCAATTTCAGCACTCACCAACCGACAATCATTGGGCAACCGTTAAGCGTATTCTCCGCTATATCCGAGGTACCTTTGACCGCGGACTTGTGTTCTCCTGTTCCCCTTCGCTCCATGTCCATGGCTACTCAGATGTCTGGGCCTCTTGTCCCAAGGATTGTAAGTCCATCACAGGGTTCGCTGTTTTCTGTGGTACAAACTTGGTGTCCTGGTCCACCCGCAAGCAGAAATCCGTAGCTCGCTTTTCCACCGAGTGCGAATATCGAGCCCTTGCCACCCTCGCTTCAAAAGTCCTGTGGATGCGGACCTTACTTCATGAACTAGGGAAACCAATCCCTAATGCTCCAGCCTTGTGGTGTGATAATCTTGGCGCAACGTTTCTTGCGCATAATCCTGTGTTTCACAATCAGTCCAAGCACATGGAGATCGAATTCCACTTTGTTCGTGATCAAGTTAGCAAAGGGGAGCTCCGCGTGCATTATCTGCCAGCTCCTGACCAGCTCGCTGACGTTCTCACCAAACCATTGCCGCGACCAAGCTTCACCAACTTCTGCTCCAAGTTTCGACTCACTGAGCCTCAACTTGCGGGGGCGTGATAAAGGACTTGCTCCTTATGTTTCTCTTTGCTGCTAGTTGTTAGAGAGTCGAACGTTGGTCACCCAACTTTGTTCCTTCTTTCACTCTTTATGTTCCTCATCTGTCGCCGATCTTCTGTTGCAATGTACTATAAATACTTTGATTCAATAAGAGAAACACAAGCCTTGAGCTCTTAGTAATCACCATTCTCTTCTCCATGAAATCTTTGTTGCACCCATAAAATGGACAGGTGGGCACTTAGGATATATGTTCCAACTTGTCAAACACATCACCCTGCCCTCTTCGTCTGTGCTACGTCTTTCGAGTTTGATCCAAGTATCAATTATCCTTCTGGAAAATTTCACTGAATAGGTGTCGAGCTCCCTATACCACATAATTGGTCCTACGCACGTTTGAGGCGATGGTGCATTAACATATGTTTCCTCGGTATCCATCTCTACCACTGCAACTTCCTCCAGGCCAATTTCTTCATTATCTAAGTTTAGGGCTCGAACCTTCTTCTTTTGCTGGATAGACTCCTACTCGCTCTTGTTATTTGGCGAGGAGGAGATCTCCACGAGGGTTTCTCAGCTTCAGACTGCACCATTGACGACGATGTTGTCGCCATGAAGACCAAAACCCTAGCTTGAGCTTCGTAAATTGCCTTTTCCGCCTACTCCAATTTTTTGTAGCATGATGAAACTTACCGGAATAATTACTTAACTTTGCACTAATTAACAAAATGCTCATTTTGTCCATTTTATCAATCAATCAAATAACCTTCCTCATCTTTTTGTGACTACTTAAAATTTTATGATAATTTTTTTTTTGTAATCTTTATAATCATTTTATTACCGATCTATAGTTATATAAACGTTTAGTTACTGATCGTGTAATGAATTATCAAAAGCTGCACTTTTTTCACATCATTTTTTTGTTCATAAAATTTGTTTTTTATGGAGAGGGTACAGAAATCGCAATACCTAGAGTAGTTTAATGAAAAGAAAAAGGTTGCACATAGCGCGACAAAAAGAAGGCTGAAACAGCCACAGTGAAAAAGATAATAAAGCGAAGTAACCCCCATACCGCTTGGCGGCAAAACGGAAGTGGGAGTGAAAAAAGCAAAACTGAAAAGGCAGGCGGTGACGAGGCGTGGCAACTTCCGGCGAAATTCCTAGTGCCCTTTTATATCCCATCGCCAGTACCGACGGCATAAGCCTCCTCTCTCACTCATCGTACTTCACTCAATATTCCAATTGGGTTTTCTTCCCAGAATCCGAGAAAGTTTTTGAATTTCCACGTTAACTGCTTTGAAACAGTGCAGTGCAACTTACCCTGAATGATCAATTGCTTCTTTGTGAAAATTTTGATTTGGGGTTCGTCGAGCTTTCTTTCACTCGGTCTGTGCATTCTCAGTTTCCAGTTGGGACTTGCTATGATCTTGATTTGACATTGGGGAATTGCTGGAGCTGTTGATCATCTTTTGCCACCAATGGAAGAACCACTTCTATCTGCTCATGTGGAGGATGTTGAGCGAGGGCCTCAACTCGACTCGGTACCCTCGTTTTTCCCTTGCTGCCTAACTACTCCTGTCATTGAGTTTGATGAACATCGATGCCTCTTTTTTACTGGGTTGAGAGAAAGCTCATAACTTTGTGTAGTTTGGAATTCGTCTATTCACACCATAATAGACCTGTTTTTTTTAGTTAATTTACTTGCCCTGCCTGTTGCAGAAGGACAATGCTGAAAGTATTTGGGATGTGATGACTTTTAGATCCATCACTTCTGTGATGAATCACGGCATTGTAAAGCAGCTTGACTTTGAAGATTTGCTGTGCCTACCTGGTGACATGGATCCTGCTTTCTGTCACAATGTGTTGTCAAGCTGCTGGCAAGATGAGGAAGGTCGGCCTGAACCCTTTTTGCTCAAAGCGATTTTCTATGCGTATGGATGGCCATATTTGAGGCTTGGTGTATTGAAGGTGAGTGTGTGTTGTTTCTGTTGGAATGTCATATTATGTGTTGGAGCCTCATGTGTGTCTGATGTTACTAACCATCAATTGGCTTTTTGTTGCAGGTATTTAATGATGGATTAGGCTTCGTGGGGCCTCTGCTTCTAAACAGGCTTATTCATTTTCTTCAACAAGGTGTGCTGCATTCGCCATATCCATATACTAGCAGTAATTCATGTATAATGAAATCGCTATTGTTGTCCTCTTGTGTATGCTTGAGGACCTTCTTCAACAGAAGAAGGCTGTATTTCTGCTACAAGTAACTGATAACTGTGGTTATTAGGAACCCCAAAAGTATGAGAAGCTCTGTTGTTGCAATTTACTAAGGATGACAGTGGGGGAAAAAACTGAAAATTGATTAACTGGAACTCGCATGTTCCGTGAAGGAAGTCAAGCTTTTGCTCTATTATTGAATTTATTATCCTGATTGTTAAATAATCAACCAATGATAATCACCATCCCGCCTTCACCATTATGTATTCTCGGTCATTGTCTGATGGCAAAACTACGATTTCAGTTTCGTCAGGATTCCATACCTTATAATCTCTGTTTAATTCTCCTTTTAATCTGTCTTTTGAATGCGCTGTGCCTGCTTGTAGCTTTTCTCTTTTTGGTTTTGTGTTCTCTTTTACTGTTTGCTTTGCCTTCCGTGTCATCTCTTAGTAGTTCACATATTGTAAAAATCAGTTTCCATTCCTCAGGTTCTCCACATTGGGATGGCCTTCTTCTTGCATTGTCCTTGGGCCTCACTTCTGTTTTGAAGTAAACTCTTGCTCCCACTTCCAGTATATTGTCGTCTTATTGTTCTACTAATTACATGTGGAGTTATGGTTCATATTGGATAACTGCAGGTTTATTCTGAGGGTGTGCTTGTTGTGAAAATTTTGCAGGTCATTCTTAGATACGCAATATTCTTTTCGTCTCGCAAAGTTAAAGCTTAAACTACGGTCGAGTATCATGACTATCATTTATAACAAGGTACTCATCAGAGTCTTTCCACTTAGGCTATCAGCATTGGTATTATTGATATGGCATGATAGATTAATAGACTATGCTGTGAAACTGAGTACATACAGCTGACCTCTTTATCAAGTATCAACTTTGCAGTAGCCTGAAACTTCGATATAAAATGTTTTGCCCTTTCATCTTTGAAATTGAGTTCTGCAGTTTCTGATATTTCTAGATGCTAATCTCCTTAGTTCCAGCCGATTGCTGAGATGGCGATGTCATTTGAGGAATTACTTTGCATGGTATTGTTTAGGTTTATTGAACTAGTAGCTTTCCACAGTTTCCATAACGATATGAAGTAGCCTAGTTTATCTGAAACCTGGACTGTTTTTCTCTTTTTTTTTTTCTTCTTTTTGAAAGTTAAACCTGGATTATGTTCTCTTTCTGGTGGTTGTGAACCATGTTACTTTGCTTCAGTCACTTGGATTTCCAATCATCTTAGTTTTTTTTTTTTATCTCTCTGTTCCCAGCATCAATTGTTAACCTTCATTTTTATTGTTTCAGTGCTTGTGTCTCACACTAGCCGCACAATCTAGGTTCTCTGAGGGTGAAATACAGACGTTTATGTCGGTTGATGCTGATCGAACGGTCAACTTATGCAATAGCTTCCATGATATATGGAGGTAGTAAGCACACATGTTACAATGAATAAAGGGAAACCAGAAAGTTACAAAATTTAAAAACACCCTTGCAATACTATTTCTCGTAGAAGTAATGCCTATCCTTTGAATTGTAACAATTGCTTTCATGGTCTTTTCAGCTTACCTTTACAGATTGGAGTGGCTTTGTATCTCTTGTATACCCAAGTCAGATTTGCCTTTCTTGCTGGACTTGCAATAACCATCCTATTGATACCAGGTTTCCATATTGTTTCTTGTCCTTGGTATTTTGAATGTTATCTAGGAAAAAATACTGTTCTATTGAGAGACTGTCTTTGCGAATATGGACAGAACTTTAGTCTGGGCAGTTTTCGCTATAAGGCAGCTACATAATTTCACCTGATATATATTTTTCTTAATTTTGTCATTGTTTATATTTGTAGTGAATAAGTGGATCTCTGAGCTCATTGCAAATGCTACAGAGAAAATGATGAAGCAAAAGGATGAAAGGTGGACATTTTATTCATTTATACTACTGCAATCAAACTTGAGAACTTAAAAAATATAATGTGATCTTCACAGGGTTAGACGAACGGGTGAAATTTTATCACATATTCGCACTTTAAAGATGTATGGCTGGGAGCAGCTCTTCTCCAAATGGGTGATGGAGACAAGAAATTTGGAAGTAAAGCACCTAGCTGTAAGAAATGTGTTTCTGTGATGTGTTAAAAGGAACGAATGTACAGTAGTATTTAGATTAGTTATTCTTAACTTACTTTTTTCTTTGGCTGAATCTTTTCAGACAAGGAAGTATCTGGATGCATGGTGCGTTTTCTTTTGGGCTGCAACACCTACTCTTTTCTCCCTGTGTACGTTTGGACTTTTCAGTCTGATGGGGTATCAACTAGATGCTGCAACGGTATGCTTACTTCGTTAAAAAGTAATTCGTTGATGAGTGGCACAGGAGTGTGACGCTAATATGGTAGATGACCAAGTTTATCTATTCTACAGGTCTTCACTTGTCTCGCTCTGTTTAACAATTTGATATCTCCTCTAAACTCATTCCCATGGGTCATTAATGGATTAATCGATGTGAGTTATGACCATAATCATTGTTCTTTACTTTTCTTGTACATAAACATAACTTGTTTCTAATAATGCTGAATATCTGTTTACTTGAGCCCAGGCCTTCATATCAACCAGACGGCTGAGCAGGTTTCTTCGATGTTCAGTTAGTAAACATGAGGAAAATGTTATATCGCCAGGTGATGGCTCGAATATCATCCCTAAAGACATGGCTGCTGTTATGAATGATGCTTGTTGTGCTTGGTCGAGTAGTGATGATAAGCTGGAGAGCACAGTTCTGAATCATATGAACTTAAGCCTCCCCAAGGGTGCAGTGATTGCAGTCATTGGAGAGGTATCTGACTGATTGCTTGTAGCCTCTTATTATTCCTTGCAAACTGTTGCATATATATCACAGCCTTGGTAAACAAATATTAATTGATTGATTCATTTTGAAGATGCTTGTCTAACTTTACTCTCAAATTTTATCTTATGATGATTCTCTTTGGAATATCATCTCTGCAGGTTGGTTCTGGTAAGTCCTCATTGTTGTGTGCTATATTAGGAGAAATGAAGCTCATAAAGGGCTCCATACATTCCAGTGGATCTGTAGCATACGTACCTCAGGTTTTTGTCTTTGTGTTTCTGAATTGTTGAATGAAGGGTTATAAATTTAACTGCTTACATGATTGATGTATTCGCTAACGGCAGCATTTGGTGAAATTCCAGGTCCCGTGGATTTTAGCAGGAACAATTCGTGACAACATTTTGTTTGGAAGAAATTATGATTCAGAACGGTATGCTGCATTTTTAGTGCCTTCACCCCTTTTGTTTTATTTTGTGGTGAGTTGCGGTTATACATGAAATTTGTAAATCAGGGCATAGAAATTGTATAATTTTCCATTAAAATGGGATTTAGTCAATGTTTCTGACTCATTCCTGTTTCTCTGTTGTACAGATACTTGAACACTATAAAAGTTTGTGCACTGGATATTGATATTTCACTAATGGCTGGAGGTGATATGGCTTATATTGGAGAGCAAGGTGTAAACTTATCGGGTGGGCAGAGGGCTCGTCTTGCTTTAGCAAGGTTAAATCCAAACCTTTGTCCTCACTTTTGCCAAATCATTTATCAAATTCCATCATTTTTCCTTTTCAATTTTCTGATCTTTGGCTGGTGTCATACAACAGGGCCATTTACCAAGGGTCTGATCTATATCTGCTAGACGATGTCCTTAGTGCTGTCGATGCTCATGTTGCTAGGTGGATTTTGCAAAATGCTATTCTTGGCCCTCTCATGAGTCAAACAACCCGCATCCTTTGTACTCATAATGTTCAGGTAATTTCTTTGAACACATCTCGTGGTTCTTTTTATTTTCACTCGTTATGGAGTGAACCAGTGTTAGATTGCTGCCCTTGGCTCTTTGAACAATAGTACAATATTATGATGGACATATCATTGATAGTATTCGAACCTCGCAGGCTATTTCATCTGCTGATTTGGTTATTGTGTTGGACAAAGGAGAAGTGAGATGGACAGGAAGTTCAGTTGACTTGGTAGCTTCATCACATTCTTCCTTCTTTCAACAGAATGAGTTTGATGCTATGTGTAGTGGTCAACAAGAACTAGTCCTAGATAATTCCATCCATGGCAGAGAAAATAAAGAACATACACATTCAACTGAAGTAGTGGAAGAGATTATTGAAGAAGAGCAAAGAAAAGAGGGCAGAGTTGAAATTTCTGTGTACAAGTATATTCTACTTCTTGGCTTGTTTTATTTTTCTTGGAAGAGTTTCTATCTTTAATATGATATGAAATTTTTAGTTGATAGCTTGCGTATCATGTCCCCCCAGGAACTATGCTTCATATGCTGGTTGGTTTGTCACAATTGTGATATGTCTTTCGGCAATCTTGATGCAAGCAACCCGGAATGGAAATGACCTATGGCTGTCATATTGGGTTGACACAACAGGAACCAGTCAAAAAGGATTTTCAACGTCTTTCTACCTGGTAATATATTCAAAATTATATTGGTTCGAGCATGCTTCTACATTTTTCGCTACCTGTTTTAAGGCACGGTGGTGTATGCACAAGGCCTGGTGATTCTTGTGGGATATTTTAGATGGACACAGAAGAACATAGAGCTCCAAATTGATGTTAAAACAGTAGACATTGGCTAGTTATGGTTGGGGAGCTTCGGAATCAGATTAGTTATTGCCGGGTGGCTTCAAAAATGATTTCCAAATGGTAAAACGAAGCTTACAGGATTCATTTTCTGTCTTCTTTTGAGAACTCTTTGCAATAAGAATCTTGTAACTCCATGAAAGACTTTTTCAATCCGTATGAAATGGAATAATAAAAGGAGTCGGTAATTGAAAGGAGACTTGCATCTGTGGATGCCTTGGTTTGTGGTGGCGCAGGTTGTTCTCAGCATATTTTGTGCAGCAAATTCGTTTCTGACACTAGTGAGGGCATTTTCATTCGCATTTGGTGGGTTACAAGCTGCAGTTCAGGTGCACAATAGATTGCTTGATAAGCTTATTGACGCTCCTGTACAGTTCTTTGTTCAAACACCTAGTGGAAGAATTCTTAACAGGTTTGGATAAAGGGCTTTACATTTGTGAGGAAAGTGAAGAATGCACATTCAGTAAACCTTATTCACGTGCTGCATGCTGCAGATTCTCTTCAGATCTTTACACGATTGACGACTCTCTCCCATTCATGCTCAACATTCTTGTTGCCAATTTTGTTGGACTCTTGGGAATAGCAGTCGTTTTGTCATATGTGCAGGTGATCACTCTTTTTCCACTTCGACTGTACAATCTGCCAAAATTCATGTCACGTGCCTCACTTGGGTAAAAATTCTTGCAAATATAATTAATTTTGTATGCAGGTTTTCTTCTTGCTTCTCGTGTTGCCATTTTGGCTCATCTACAGCAAGCTACAGGTATGAAATTCAACTCAAGCTAAAGTGAGTTGTGTATAAAAGATGAAAAAGTTGGGAGTTTTAGTTATAATATTAGATGGAGCATGCCCAATCATGTCTCAGAAGTCAGAACTGTTGGATAGTTGAGAGGTAAAAGAATGAATAAAGATTGAAGGAGTCTTATAGGAAGTGAAGTGTTATTAACAGTTCGAGTTGCTTTATAATATTGTTGCTGTGTTCCCAAAAGGAAGGAAAATTTTGATCCGAGAACAGCCCGTCCTAAGCCAGAACATCTCTAGTTTTTCTACAGGTCAACATCAAGAGAATTGCGAAGGCTTGACAGTGTTTCTCGATCCCCTATATATGCTACCTTCACAGAGACACTCAAGGGGTCATCCACGATAAGAGCATTCAAGTCTGAGGTAGATCCAGATTGTGTTTTTCAGATTTCTGTTCCATTCTCTGGCCTTCTCTGATTCAAATCTTCACCCCATTTCAAAGATGGAAAAGTTGGACCAGATATTATTGTTAAGAAGAGGAAAGATCATAGTCATGTTAAGTCAAATCAATGAAATCTCCATTTCATTTTGGTGAAGATAAGGTTTCAGTAGTCCTGGAAAGGATTGTAACATTCTGGACTTTTCTAAGTGATGATTTGTGAATTTGAACGGGATGTAATGTGGTAACTTTATGGCTGAACAGGAATTTTTCCAGCACAAATTCACGGAACATGTGACATTGTATCAGCGAACATCTTACTCAGAGACAATAGCAAGTTTGTGGCTGTCATTACGCCTACAGGTATTTTTTTTAGATCAATCTGAATCTTAGAAATATCATGTCCAACTGAATGTTCATAGGCAAAGATAACATAGCTCTGTTTTGAGATGGCAGGTGAAACTCTCTAGGTTGCTCGATCAATATAAATTTTGTCACTTTCATTCAGTCTGACCAGGGGTCTTGTCTTAGTTGATAGGAGCATTTATAGTCACCTTTGTTGCGGTGATGGCTGTTGCTGGGTCCAGAAGCTATTTGCCAGTTGATTTTGGCACTCCTGGACTGGTACTTTCTGTGGCCTCTCTATCTATCTCATACGTCTTCAGTTTCTACTCGTCAAGACTCTCAATTACTGACTTTCAGACTCTACATGTTTTGACTCGTACGATGTTGTTTTTCTTAGGTTGGTTTGGCTCTTTCTTATGCTTCTCCAATTGTATCCTTGCTGGGAAACTTCCTAACAAGTTTTGCCGAAACTGAAAAGGAATTAGTTTCTGTCGAGAGAGCTCTTGAGGTAAAGACATGCATCCATTCTAGTGTTTCTTAATTCCCTCCCTGGCAACTGAAATGCTTTCTGCTCTTGTTAAGTACATGGACATCCCACAAGAAGTGGTGGAAGAATCCAAAGCTCAGGATCCCCATTGGCCAATTCGAGGGATGATCGAATATAAGAACGTGACAATGAGATACATGCCCACTTTGCCACCTGCACTACGTGATGTCACATTCACAATTGCAGGAGGAACCCAGGTAACTTCATTCATGCAGCCTAAACTTTTGCTGATTCCCTATTTGCATCTAAATGTTTCTCAAAAAGCGGTGTCTTTTTATATCTTACAACACAAATGAAATAGGTGGGAATCATTGGAAGAACAGGTGCTGGCAAATCTAGCATCCTGAATGCTCTTTTCCGCCTTTCACCTGTAAGCAGTGGATACATTCTGGTCGATGGGCTTAACATAGTTGATGTGCCTGTCAGAGATTTGCGTTCACGCTTAGCTGTTGTTCCTCAAAGCCCCTTCTTGTTTCAAGGGTCATTAAGGTTTGCCCCTCGTACACATGCTTTCTTCTACATCAAGCATAACGTTTCTATTTTGCCCCTGTGAGTCTTATGGTGTAAATTCTGCAGGGATAATCTTGACCCTCTTGGTAAAAGCAATGATACTACGATGTGGGAAATCCTGGAGAAATGCCATGTCAAGGGTGAAGTAGAAGCAGCTGGTGGATTGGACATCCATGTTCAGGAATCTGGAACCTCGTTCTCTGTTGGACAAAGGCAGCTGCTTTGTCTCGCCCGAGCTCTTCTCAAGTCCTCCAAGGTAATGACCTTTGAAAGTATCTGCTGAGTCAGGCACATAGTGGAAACTTCAGGTAGGAGCTTGATTCTAAACGAGGCAATGCTGAGCTTTTTTTTCTCTTCCAGGTTCTATGTTTGGACGAGTGCACGGCGAATGTGGATGCACAGACAGCAAGGCTACTCCAGAACACAATCTCCAGTGGATGCAGAGGGATGACGGTGGTCACAATCGCACATCGGATCTCGACAGTACTGGACATGGATGACATACTCATCCTTGAACAGGGGAAGCTGGTGGAGAAGGGGAATCCACAAGCTCTTCTGGCAGATCCTTCCTCCAAATTCTCGAGCTTTGCTAAAGCCTCTACTATGTAAGCATTCTTAGCTTGATGTACCCTGCCTTCTTGGGAAAGGCTTTTGCCTTGTCGTTGTAGTCTAGTTAGTTGTTGAACTGGATTTGTACCACCTTTTTGCTTGCCTAGTATGTCAAAGGCTTTTGCCTTTGTTATTGTAGTTTAGTTGGTCACTGGACTTCATGTAGTACTTAGAAATCTCATTTCCCCTGCCCTTTGCTTGGGAAAGAAGAAACCACTCTGCATAAAGTAGGTTACACGTATATTTACAATTTTCGTTGATATTCTCCTATAGTTTACTAGTTTAGTGATGACAAAGGGTCATCAGAAGTCTCTAGGATCAACAAAGATCACAGGCGACGAACCCGAAGAAGTCGCCCAATCGGAGGGCTCACATCCTCCATCCTCATGATCACGAACCTCTTCCCTAAGCCTCTTGATGCACCAGATGTCCTGTTCCCACGAAAACCTCCTCCAATGCGGGACCACCTTTCGCACCGGGTCCCGCGGTCCAACCTCACAGACCAGCCCTCCGCACCCATCATCGTCTCGAGCCACATTGTGCGCGAACCGGCACAGAGCCCTCATGAGCTGGTCCGCACCCTCTCCTTCCATGTGCAATCCGTACATCACATGGACTCCAAATTCCCTAAACACTTTGGGATCGATCGAGGGCAGCCTCAGACAAGGCAGCCGCGAGTCCAGCCACCTCGAACCCACACAACAGGCGCGGTTCAACCTCGATGCACCCTTCACTTGCATCTTGAACACGTCCTTCGTGTTCCATATGCTCATGATAGCGAAACTCTCCAACGGAGACTTGATAGTGTTGTTGTTTGTGTCGACGTATGATTTTGGCATGGCCATGAAGGTGCCCATGTTTAGCTTGTTGGAGAGGATGCTGTCGATGTCTTGTGGGAAGAATTCGGCATTTTTAGTGCTGAATGCGCGACGATAGATCAGTCCGGCGGTCTGAGGGGTCAGGCGGATGATCGCGACGGAGGAGGGTATGGACTTGCGGTGAGCGTGTACCGGCTGGACGAGCATGGCAGGGGTCCGGAACTTGGTGTAGGAGAATTTGCCGGTGAAGAGGTTGATGGAAGGCTGGTTGGTGCAATCGGTTGCCATGTATGCGTATTCGGCGCCGTTTTGTTTGCTCCATTCTTCTACTTTGTGGACTAGTCGTGCGCCGATCCCAAGCCTCCTGCAGTTACATTTATGTTCCAAAAGATGGCTTTTTCAATCAGTGTCTTGAATTCAAGCAAATGAGGTTGTGGTTATTAAACTAGACTGGGAGCATTTCTGAGCAAGAGCAAAAAATTTTGTTAAATCCAATAGATTATCATTTTTTTAATGATTAACGACAAGGAGGGAAATTCTTGATAGAAAATTATTGAACTCAAAACTTGAAAATTTTCTTAGTCAATAAGGAAATATGGAATTAAGTAGTTCACTAATATGTGTGTTGAATATGCTAATAAGCAATCGAGAACATTTTTCATTATTTCGAACTGTTTAGAACTTTTCAATTTGATCATGAAACAATGTGCTCAAGAGGGTACTTATATAATATTAGCTAATCCTAACTGATCGAACCAAAACAAGTTATGTCAAAGACTAGACAAATTTAAAACTTATCTCAACAAATTTGTTGATGTTTGGAGAGGTAAACAGAAATCAAATTAGGATACTAATCAAGATTTGAGAAGGCTTTGTATAAGATTACATGTTTCATAAATAAAAAGTATGGAAATGGTGGGCTCAAAGCACAAACACAAGAAAATGTGAATGCATATTATATGTTGGGTGGCTAGTAGTGGGGCTAGTATGCCATGGGAAAAAGGAAGAGAGAATAATGAAAAGGAGAAGACTGGGAAAAAAGATAGAGAAGGGGAGGAAGCAGTGGTAGCCCATGTGTCTTGGGGAAATTTAGTAAACCTTTCCAAATTATACCCAAACAATGGTCCTCCACCAAAGCTTTTGTGTTTTCTTGTCCCAATTGATGGTATTTGAATAATTAGAGTAAACAATGAAAGATATGGTTGGCCTTCCCCCTCAATGTAATAGTATTAAGAATGGTTAGTGTGGTAGAGCATATATTTAGAAGGATTGGAGATAGGATTCTTGCATTAATTCATCCTTAAGTTAAGAAAGTCATCTTTCAATGGTAAAACAATTGGAGCATAATCCATTTGTATCAATCTTTAGGTGGAATAATATCTTATTTTGGAGATTCTATATATAATTTAGTATGATATAAATTTCATCATTTCTAAATATCACGATTTTTAGTAATGTATATAGTATGACTTTTAATCACTCGTTAATTTGAGCTCTGAACCTGTTAGTATCACAATGAAAGAATGATGTCGAATGTATTATATGTTCAACTTTTTTTCAGGCTAGCTAGCTAAAACATATTGCTACATAAAAATAAAAAGTTTGTTAGGTCACATATACAAATATATGTAGCTTTGGTTTGGTACATGCATGAGACTGAAGAGGACAATGAAACTGCCCAACAATCTTTTCCTTTTTCCCAACGTTGAATTTATTGGCCTCAAATGACATAAAATGGTCCAACAAAATAATCGATGCTAATGATAATATCGTCACAGTAAAATATGGTGATTATTAACATAGAACATAATCGCGTACCTATGAGTAGGAGAAACCCTGAGTCCAAGAATATATGCCAACTTCACATAATTAGCGGCGTAGCCATTTTTGGATGAAGAAGAGTTCCCTCTTGACACCGTCTTTATGCATGCCCTCACCACTCCTACGATCTCCTTGCTGCCTTCCCCGCCGTACTCTGCTACCTGATCCATCAGAAAGAAGATCGAACGACGTCGCACAGTTGTTATTAATTAAGCCAAAAAAGATGGACAGCTAGCTCAAGTTCAATATTCATGAGATGAAAATGCAAGTTACCATCATGACATGGAGAGGGAAATGGCGAACCCGACAAATCGGGTCACCCATGAGGTCAGTGACGAGGGAAGGCTTTCCGCGCTGCCCGATTTCGCACCGCCGCTCCATCTCCTCCACCGCCGCCGTGTCCCTCTTGGCGTCGAACTCCCTCACCGCCACCGCCAACCATTTCCTCTCCGCCGTCAATATCTCCTCCACGGCGGCTACTCTAGTGGTCATCGCGAGCGAGGTGTGCAGAGAAGCGTAGATGGAAAGATGTAACTGTCAACAAGATTTTGAGGGCACTCAAACAGCCTTTTATATACGCGAACGCGACAACACAGACCGTCCCCGAAAGAGCACGTTCAATATATTTAATATAATCTAATATTTTAATGTATGGATTTAAAATACTTGTCATTCAAATTGATTATTATAAATAATAATAAAAAAAAATCTAGAGAAATTTTACATATCCTTTATTTTGAACATTAGAAAGTATAATAATTATATTTGTTTAGTACCAAAATTCGAATTCGAAATTTGGCTATGTATTGATGTTCTAATCAAGGTTGTTAACCTAGTAGGTCCGCCCACGGATTGATTAGGGGTGACACTAATCCGGTTGAAAAAAAACGAGCGTCACACACTCGTTTTGGACTTCGCCCGAATTAGTCAAATCAGCCTCAGCGCATTCAAAACTCGGCAAAACCGGCTCCAACCTTTTTTTGAGTAAAAGAACAAATGATGGGTTCCATTTCTTCTGATTGGGAGTTCTATCATATATTCTTTAGACTATTTCAGTTCATTCAATGTGTCAATCATAAATTTATATAATGAATTTATGTGTATTTGAATTCTTATTATATGTTAAATTCAGCTACGAACTATTATATTGATGTAATGTTATATGAGATTTTATATAATTTATACATGTATTAATCATTCACCCACTTGTTCGAGTGGATCAATGCGCTAAACCGGATTGAAAACTTTTAGAATGTATTATCGATATCTGTGTTTGGTAATAGGAGATCAGAACCGTGATATTGAATTAATACAGAAGATCATATGTAGGGCGCGCGCCGGCTAGCTGCCTGATCTTACTCGTCCTGTCCCTGTTCATATAGGGTGGGACTCCTCATTCATTATTCGTCACATCTTTTCCTTTCTTTTCAAACTTGTTGTACACATTAGCACGCCTCCTTTGTAATTTCTATACGCAGAGAAGAAGAGATAGATTATGCTTAATTAATAGTGTGATAATAATAGAAGCAAAAACATTAAAAGGCAAGCAAGATGCATGAACAGTTAACATCACATGAGATGCTTTCTTTTCCGTTCTTAATTCTCTTTTAAAGAGCGTTTTCTTTTCCTTCCCTTTTATTTTAAAATGCCGTTTATAGCAATTAATGGTGGATATATATGGCTGCAATTATTGGTCCATTCTAAAGGCCACTTGCTCACTTTCACATTTACTTTGTCACTACAGAAGCACAACTAACTAACTCATTATATTATGACCATAATGATATATGTGCCAAATTTGCATGACTATAATGCAATAAGTTTTCTTTTTAATGAATGCAATTCAGACCCCCAATTTTCATCAGTAATCAATTGGGCCTGATTTTGAAACCTCTAGTCCACTAGCTTAGCCTAGGAGAAGCAAGAGAAATATAATGAAACCTCGAGGATAAGTAATTTCAACAGCGCGAGCATTCAAAGTAGCTGGAGCCCGACCGAGCCATTCAATCTCCCTCCCCCGTAATGGTTAGCTTACTTCAAGGTTACAAATGAACTATGTAAAGCAGCGTCTTGAATGATCTCTAATGATTCTGCCACCATATTGGCAAGGCTCGAGTCAACAATGGAGAGTTGTATGATTGATGGTATGAATTCTCTAGCTTTGTTCTGGCAAGTACAATTCACATATGTTGTTATTCCGCGCATCCCGCACATAATCTATTGAAACTTGGAAACATAAAACTTGAGTGTTAATAATTAGACCTATGAAAACATGATCATTTATATTTTTCCAAAGAGATAAACAAGTAATGTGGAAGATCAATCCGAACTGGGTTAATTGTACAATTTACTACAAGCCAATTCCTGTAATGTTGTGCAATAAATAATTTGTATAAGATCCCAAAGTGATGGCATATTCCTTTATTTCCAAATTATTTATTTATTATTATTTGTTCACCATTTTCTAATGAACGAGATGATCATATTCATAAATAATAATCCAGATGTTAATAATTTCATTTTTATTATATGTTGTTCTCTAGCTTTTTCTCTAGCCAATCCTCGATCGAAAACACTTTGAGAATCTTGGAATAGAGAAATGAAAAGGATTGTACTACGTAAAAGCTCGTTTAAAAGCTAATTAACCTTTTGGGTATATAATGAAGAATTTCTTTTTTTCATTTCTACCGTACGTGATAAATGAAAAATTATATTGGGGGTGGATCAAAAAATCGCCATGCCACCAATAATTGGTATAAATTAAAGGCGACGCCGTTGGAGAGAGGATGTTGCCTAACCCTAACCCTCACCACGCTCACGTACGTTTCCTTTACCGGTTAATGTGCTCTAATAATCAACCGTTCGATGTTAAAAAAAAACTGTCTTTTTCAGGTTGGAAGCTTCCTTGCTAGTCCCCATGAGCCAAATAATTGGTGAAGTGAAGAACCAATCATCAAATTACTACGGTTTTACTTGCTACACGTACATGCAGTGGCGGACCCAGAAAATTTTCATAGGGGTGTCCACTTTTAAAAAATAAATTAAATAAAAATAAAAATAATTCATAAAAATAAAAATAAAATTGTAAATATGAAAAATACCTTACTCGTATAGGTTAAAAAAGTCCATGATATGTTTTTATATTCGGAAATAATTGTAGAATACACTTGGTGTCTATAGTGTTAAAAAAATTGTCTCTATATACACTACTAGACAATCATTCACGAATTTATCGCATATTCGATTTGTAAACTTGTTCTTGATGTAACCCAAAGCTGAAAGACTCTTTCAACACTTATCATACAATCATAAAATCAATACAAATTAAGGGTAGTTTGAAATTAGTTTAATTGTTAGATTTTTAAAATAATTAGAGATAGTGAATGCCATTTTACTCACATTGTTCAAAATCGAACAACAAATTAGTTTAGCTAAACGGAAATTAAGTTTATTAATAAGAATAGTGTTCTAGATTTGAATTATCCAACCTACCACTTATATTCCTATACACAAATGACAGAAGGATAATCATTTTTTCAAATTTAAGGGGTGTCCCTCACTATCAATTATTTTTTTTTGTCCATACGTAAATTACTACCGGGGGTTGGATAATCGTTTTCCCAAAATTTAGGGGTGTCCGGGGACACCCCTAAACCTCCCTGGGTCCGCCCCTGCGTACATGCACTTCCACCACTCAGTAATGGAGTTAGAAATTTAAATGAGGAGTTTGGGCTAAATTACACGTTTAGTCACTCAAATTATACAAATCTTTCATGTTTGCCATTCGAATTACTTTTCTTTCTTATTCGCCACTCACTTTACGAATCATTTCACAATTAGTCACCGGCCGTCACACTCCGTTAAATTTGTCCTACGTGGCAGTCAACTATAAAGTTTGACCGTTAACTAGATGACGTGGAAATTTAAAAAATTTGAAAAATAAATTTTTCCACCTCATCATTTCACTTACTTGGTTTATGTGATTTATTATATTAATTATTTCATAGAAAATTACAAAAATAAATTATCAGAGGCGACGGTTGATTTACGCCGTTCCTATTCCTCTTTTTCATCTTCGCAGTTCCGGCGCCTAGCAGCTCCTCCACTCTGGCAGCAGCTGCTCCTCTCCCCTATATCTTCCCCAACCCTGAAAACTTTGATTTCCTCCGCTACGACTCCCGTCTGCGCTTGTGCACCAAAACTAAAAGCTGCTTCCATCCCTCTTTCGGCTCTCTCGGTTACTTTCTCCGCCCTCTGAATCCCTCTTGATCGGAACCTTGTTGGGAGGATTAAGTGGCATCGGAAAGATGAACGAAGAGTTGAGGAAGACGAATCAAGCGAAGGAAAGCGACGGCAGAAGAATTATCCGGCGGTGGAGCCGCATATGCGATGGTGACGGGATTTTCGGCGGTGATTTTGTTGAGGATGACAGTCCAGAGGACCTCTCAGAGGGAGAGGCGGGGCCCGCGACGACGACAGTTCCCTGGTGCTAGTGGAGGAAAATGGTAGCGGGGGTTGTTGCCGGAGGTGGGGGAATTGAGATCCAGTGACAAGTCGGTGGAAGAGAGGGCGACGGCGGCGGCGAGCAACTAGGGATTTCGATTTTCCAAATGACGAGGTCGAGTTTGCTGAACTTTGCGGCGGTGCCGTTTACGAACATGAGTGACAGTGGCCTTGTTGGGACGATGAAGGGATCGGTAGTGGCCTTCTGATCTGGTAGAGTAAGCCATTGGAAGGGGCGGTGAGAAGCAGAGGAGCGGGTGTAAAAGTGGCCTGTCGAAAATCCATCACTGCCCAATAATTAATTTTTGTAATTTATTAAATCTTTTTAAATAAACAATATGATAAAGCAATGGTGAGGTGGAAAAATTAATTATTTTTTAATTTCCACGTCATCTAGTTAACGGTCAAACTTTATAGTTGACTGCCACATAGGACAAATATAACGGAGTGTGACGGGCGGTGACTAACAGTGAAATGATTCATAAAGTTAGTGGCGAATAAGAAAGAAAAGTAATTCGAGTGGCAAACGTGAAAGATTTGTATAATTCGAGTGACCAAACGTGTAATTTAGCCGAGGAGTTTGATTATAAATCGTGATAATTTGAGAGGAAGAAACGAATCTATTTTTTTATTTTTTAAATTTGTACGAAGTTTACATGTAAATTTACATGTATTTTAATATAAACTAACTCAGCCACTGCTTCCATCATTTGGATGAACTTTTAGGCAACTCGAACATACAAAACTTTCTCCTAATATGCATACACAGAAATTTTATAAGGACCCTACATTTCAATTCACTGCAGAAAATATGGATCATATATATTTTAGTGGATTGCTATTCGTCGTACTAAAATTATTATTTGTTGTGCTAACTTAAATAAATATTTACAAAATCGTTCTTTTTAAAATTGAACTAAGTTTAAAACAAACGTTCCCTTCCCAGCACATAATCTTCCACCGGCTTCTGGTGGAAAGATTTTTTTGCC